TTGTAGATCTAAAAAATATATCTAGCGTATTATATTTTTTTTTTTTTGAATAATTGTGTGTAATGTTGGCGCATTTAATATTCAAAAGATTCAAATCAAAAATAATTCAATTTTATATTGTTAAAATCAAGGATTTAAAGTATTTTATTCATTCACCTTGTACTGATAATAAAAATATATGTATAAGCAAGCATTTAAAATAAACAAATCCATTTAATATAAATATTAAAAAAAAAAAATTTCAAAAGTCTTTTGTACAATAAAGCATCTAGTGCCAGCACTTAAATGCTCTTCAATGATAATATTTTTCATGTAATATGTACATGGATGAACAAATTATAAAATATTAAAATATTTAAAACATTTCGAAAAATCTTTATTGTAATTATTTGCATATATGTATTCAAAAGAGAAAAACGTATCCTTTAGATTAATTAAAGTAAAGTTCTAATGAACTAAGAAAAACAAATATTTGATCTAAACTTTATAATACACAAAAACAAATTAAAAAATTAAATATTCATTTTGTTAGATGAATTTAATAATTTATTATTATCTTACAAAAATAAAATTTATTTTGTTTTCTAAATAATTTAGAGACAACAAAAAAGAAAAAATTTTTGATATTGAATTCAAATTTTTTAAATATATTAACAAATGTTTTCAAGATTTCTGCATATATTTTAAAATAAATTTAATATTTTGAATAGAAAAATAATAAATTAATTAGAACTTTTCTATATATTTATGCATTGAATGTTATTTTTAATATTAACATGTGAAGCATTCTATGTGATAGTCTATTATACAAAAGCTTTAACAGGATTTAAAAAAAGGAAAATAAAAGAAATACATTTTAAAAATTAAAGTTTTTATTTTTTTTTTAAATTTTTTTTTTTTGAATTTTACTTAAATTTACGAAAATTTTAACGAAATTCTAAGCATTTTCAACATATTTTTATTATTTTTTTGTTAATTTTTATTATTCTTAACTTTAATTTTGTTTTTTTTTTTGTATTTTAGTTGAATTTAATTACTTTTTCATACATTAAATACAGAATTGGTTTTCGTTATTTTTTTTTCATTTTCTTTCTGAAATATTTTCTGCGTTTTTATATTATTTTTTTTTTGTATCTAATTTTATTTGTTTATTTTTTTATATTTTTCATAGGATTAGTTTTTTTTTTCTTTAAACTGAAATAATTTTACATCACTAAATATATAATTATTTATTTATTTTTTTTTTGTTAAATTTAACAAGTCAATTGGTATTCTTCTGTTTAAGTATATGTATAAATAATTTCCATATTATACTTATGCTCTTATAAGAACAGCACATAATTTTCATATTTGAATTTTTTTTTCGTAATTCCGATAGATATTTAATTGAAAAGCTGTCCGATGATTATTAATAAGAAAAAAATCATAATTGTAATTATTTTATACTGATATATCAGTTATAAATCTAAATGCTCAACACAATAATATAATTTTCCTAGAAGGTATATGTGGCGCTATGTCGGTTATTATAATTAATTTGGTATATTAGGAGAAAGTGGAATAGTGTATCCGTTTGTTGGATATAATCACAACATAATAATGAAGTTACCAATCATTATCATGTATGAATGTTGTTTCAGTTTGTTAAAATTTTAAAAATTATATTAGTATCTTAACTTCGGACTACTACACTCTATCTAAACCGAAAATAATGGAACTGTTTTAGATTTTTCAAACATCAAATTGAACAATTTCAAAGATCTAACGAATTTGCTACATCATACAAAGAATAATCTCTAGTACCATTAAAAATGGTCATGCAAGGATTTACAATAGAATTTTAGGTAAAATATTTTAACTCTTTTTTTTTTTTAAATTTTGCTTACCTAATTTAATAAAACTTCATGACAAATTCATTCAGAGATCAACAAAAATGAAAATTGTTTTGTGTTTTTTTTTGTTAAAATATATGTACAAAATCTCCAACCAAAAATATACCAATTAAATAAGGGAAAATTGGATCTACACAATGTTGTTCATTGAGGGTGGAACAGGTTTTGTAATACACATTTCAGGAACAAATGAATAAGTTCGAGGGAATATTTTACGAATTGAATATAACCAATTGGAGTTTACATAAAAAATATGAAAGTGATTCTTTTTTAAGCTAATACGAAATGTAAGCATATTGACAATTTTATATGTTATTGGTTGAACATTTTAATTTTTTACAATGATTCAATTATTTTTATCATTAATATTGATAATTATATGGTTAAAAAAGAAAAAAGTTAAAATAAATTTTATAAAAAAAGATTTGAAACAGTTATTATTTTTGAAATATTTTTGAAAAATGAATCATTAATATTATAAGCTTCAATAATACATACTTATATTAAATCATTTAACATAATTTTTGAGTTTTTGAAAAGTTACTTTATTATTAATATCAGTAGCTGCGCTTTGCGCGGAGACACAAAACATGACTATGATATATTTAAGAATATATCTTTTACTATTCCTTATGATTAATTGCGGCAAAATATTTTCATGTAAAACAAAAGAATTTTTGAAAGGGGCTTATTCCGGTTTTTATTGCTGTCTTTTTACAAGTTATAAAGTTCTTTATAAGAACTTTAAAAATGAAACAAGGTACTAAGTTAAATCTTTCAAATTATCAAGGCTCTATTAACATATTAGGTAGAAAATTAAAAAACGTACAAGCAAAAAGGTGACATTTTTCATTTGTGTATGTCTTCAGCTAAAATTTATTTGTTTGTACATTTACTACCACTAAAATTTTAATATAAAATTTGTTTTAAAAAATTCAATTAAAATAAACACAATATCTTTGATTAACGTTCCGAATTCTTTTCGATTAAAAGAAAAAGTTTAATTTTGTTCTCCAAACACATATATGAGCCTTGAAATTGAACTATATAATAAAATTTTTATATATTTATAATAAAATTTGGATGTAATTTAATTTTGATGTAACAATAAGTTATTTCAATTTTATACTTCAAAAGAAAAAAAATTACAAAACATTAAGCATGTCAAAGGCTAACCAGCCACAGGAACCGTTTAAATAATGTTAATTAAAGTTGACTATTATAATTTATACATAAATATACATATAAGATAATGTAAATCGGACAAATAAACGATAAAATTAATTTTTAAGAAATAATGAATGAAAATTAATTTTATGATTGTAACATTTTTCAATTAAATACAATTAAATTTATTTTCAATTTCTCAAAATATGCTTATATTTGCTTTTATTTAATTAATCTGTTTATAAAAAAAAGTATATCGTGTAATTGCAAGATTGCTATAAGAAAACCAAATTAAATTTGTTCTCTTATGATTTATGAATTATCGTAATTTATTTATTAATCATAGCAAAATTTGTAAAATAAGATATCGTTTTGAAATTGTACTTCATGTAAAGTTACTTATTTTAAATACAAACATATATGATTGAAGTTTCTGAAGTTCTTACTGATACAAAATATTTAAAAAAAAATTAAAAAATGAAATTGAAAATGCGATTAAATATAAAAGAAACTAGGGTTTCAAATAGTTGAGAAAAGTGGCCAGCACTAGAAAAGCAAACACAATTTTTAAATACAAATTTTAGCTTCAAATTTTAAATTTCGAAATGAGAATAGTAACTTTAACATGGAACAGCAAATTTACATACGATCCCGTATTGCAATTCAGTATTCTCTCATTGAAGTTTATTATTCCCATTTTGAAGTTTAATACTCTTGAAACTAAAATGGTGTAGAAAATAAATTTTTAATGAGCCAGAATTCCTTAAAGAATTTCTAAATTTGCTATAAAACAGGAATAAAAAAAAATAATATCGAAATTTTTGAAACCCCACATGAAACCGAAATTTTTTATTAATAAATTATTCGCTTTCATATCTTTCAAACATGATCTGTTCTAAAATCACTGCTCTAAAAACAAAATACACCTAATTTATAAAATATTTACACAAAGCATATTTTTATGAGACTTATAAACTTCACTTTGAGAGCGCTTCCTTTCAAAAATTAAACAATTTTACACAGAATTTTATTTTTATTTTTGTTTTAATTTATATAATAATATAATTTAATTATAACCTTATATTTTTCATTTAAATTTTTGTGTTTTTCTATTACTTGTTATTTTCTTTTTTTTTTTAATTCAAATAAAAAGTTTATTTTTTATTTTATTTTACTAGTTTTCAGCAGTTTTGACTTGATTAAAGTTTGTTTTTTTTTGTTCTTTTATTTTTTCTTTTTAAATATTAATATGAAAAATCTAAAAACCTTTAAATTAAATAAATCAAAATATTTAAAATATTCTCCAAATAGAACTTTATTTTGAATACATTTTCAGCAGAATTAAACAATTTTTTTAATAAAATATTTACAAGAAATTGAACATGAACAGGAATTAAAAAGAAATATGAATAATTGGTTAAAATAATAAATTTTTTAATTAATTTATTTACTAAAAAACAAATTACTACGCTCTAATTTAATCTCTTAGAGAAGAAAGGTGTCATTGGCATATGAAAGAATTTCGAAGTAATTTGAAAAATTTTTTCTTATCTAAGATTAAGAAAATCAAAAGGAAAATTGATTAAATCTATTGAATAAATAAAATAAACAAAAATTAAGTGTGTATTTTATACAAATAATGATTTTTTGCGAATTAAAATTAATTTTACTGATTGACAAAAAAATTTAATTCTGTTTCGGAATTTCGAAATAGAATAAGTTTAAATTTTACTATTTTTTTGTATTTATATTTTCTTTATGAAAATTCTTTACAGAAACGATGAAAATTATAGGAAAAAAGGAAATGTTAAGAAATTGAAAATGAGACGATTTTTAAAGTTATACGCGTAAAATTATAATGAAATGAAGTAAAGAAAGAAAAAGCTGAATTTAAATTATTCAGCTTTAGAAATATTTGGAAAAAATTTTAAACTTTTCATATTTTTTTGTTTTTGAAATTTTTAATTTAAAGATTCCATATAGCTAACACTATAAATAACATGTAAAATTTCTTTTTTAATATTAAATTTTGTAATACATTCTTTGTTTGAATTTTTAACGTGTTTTTTTAAATTACTTTAATTTTATTTTTCTTATTTTTTTTTTTTTGCTTGTATAATTTTCTTTTATATCCTTTTTCAGTTTTTTTTTTTAATTTATTTTTCTCATATTTTTTGTTTAAATTTCTAATTTGTTATTTTTTTTTTTTTTTGCTTTTGCAATATAATAATTATGTAATGACCGTTTTCTTTTTTTTTTCTTAATTTTTATTTTTATAATTTTTATAACTGAATATTTTAATGTTTTATAAATGTATATATATATATATGTATATATATAGTTATGTAGCTATATGTATAAACACAAAATAATATAAACTTGTATATTATATATATATATATATATAAATATATACGTTTATAAATGTATTAATGCATTTAAAGGATTTTTATTTATCATCTTTTTTTTTTGTTTTTTTATATTTTTGTTTCATAAACATAATTTTATATTATAATTATTAATCAGTACTACATCACTTAGTCGCTGAAATAGCAACACCAGCACCCGAAGATGAATTTGCATTAATCCCTTGTTGATTCGTTAAATTATTTTGTCCTCCTGTTGGATTATTAGGATTTAAATTAGAATTTCCACTAAGATTAGATGTTGAATGAATTTGTTGTTGTTGTTGGCCAACACCACTCAGATTTTGTAAAACATTTTGGTTTGTATTATTTTGTTGTTGTTGCTGCTGTTGTTGTTGATTAAATTGATTATTTTGAATTTGAGAATTTATTTGCCCACCACCAGATTGTAATGTTGAGCCAGTTATTGAATTATTAATATTAGATTGATTTGTATCATTTGTTAGTGTACGATTTTTATTACGCGATATTTCTAATTCATGCAATTTTTTCCATAATTCTTCACGATCACGTTCACGTTTTTTCTCTCTGCAATTAAAAAAAAAAAAATAAAAAAGGAGTAAAAAAAAAATAAAGAAGAAAAAAAATTAATGCATAAAAAATTTTTTTTTTAAATAAAATAAAATTAGTACGATTTTTTGTCCTTTTAATTTTAATTAATATTAAACTAAATTAAAAAAACAAAAGGATGAAATTTAATGAAAATTAAGCACAATATTCTACAAGAAAGCTAAACTATTTAGTTTGAAAAATAGAAAAAAAAATCTTTTCAAGTTAATAAGAATACAAAACGATGCAGGAAATTGACACAAACTTTAATAATTACACTAAGGATAAAGAAAACAAAATGTAAAAAGTGATTTTCAGGAATTTTTTTTTTATTATAATCTTTTCTTTGTTAAGAAAATATTTATGTTACATAATTAAATTATGTAAAATAAAATTATGCTATTTGTCTAGTTTAGGAGTGTTAAAAAAATCAGGGTATTTCAAAAAATGATACAAAAGAAAAACTCTACTTTTCTAATTGCGATTTTTTTTTATAATAAACTAAAAACAAAATTGGAAACGAAAAGTGGGACTATCATTTTAATTTTTAATTTGCCAAATATTCATAAAAGTTTTGCATAGTAAGAAATTGGACTTAAAAATGCTTTGTGACTATTTGGTTTAATGGAAATAATATTTTTAAATCTATTTATCAAATTATAATATTTTCAAATTAATTTTGGAAAATGCTTGTTACTGCAAAATTACTAAATTAATATTATTGCTTTTATTGTTATTATACTTTTTGTTTGAGGATTTATTATGTAAATTGACCGGACAATGTCATTAGTTACATATTTATTTAAATTTGGCGATATTCATTTTTTTAGATTATGTATATTGTTTTTTAAATTAAATATTTGAGCAACCCTTTACTCTAAAAATGCTATTTTTAATATAGATTTTCATTCTTACATAATAAAATTATAAATACAAATTGTTTTTGGTATTGTAATTGATCTTGAAGAAAGATGTAACAGATGGAAAATATTTATGATATATTATTATGATTAAAAATACAAAAATTAAATGCAAAATGTAAAATGAATATATCTTGTATAAAATTTTGAAAGATGATATTATGGTAGTTTATTAATTAAAATGTTCGTTTATTTTAAAAACAATTAAAATATGAAAATTTTGAATTATAATGTTTATATATTATGTATAATGTTTTTCAAAAATTTTCAATTTCTGAAATTTTTTTTGTGTTTCTCAATTATATAAAAATATCGAATGGTAAAGACTAGACTTTCTTTAAAATTCATATTTTAATTCATTTTATAGCTTCTTAATATTGGTGGAAACTATTTTTCAAAAGGATTGTGACTTCCAATTATAATGATTATAAAATATAATTACTTATTATAGGTATAAAATTTTTTGTAATAAAATAAACCATTTTCATTCGAATACGACCAGTATTTTGTGAATATTTATGGAAATAAATAAAAAATTTCAAAATAACAATAATAATTAAAAGTAAGTATAGAACATATTAAATATAAATTACTAACTATATTCATTACATTACATTTAAATATTTACAATCAATATTTATAATGATACAGAATTTACAAAAAAGAAATTAAAATTATTTTAAATTTTCACATTAAATTAAAAGGAATTTGAGTGCAAATTATTACAAGAATGAACCAATTATATTATTAATAATGATTATCATAAACATAATTTTAATTACAAAATATTTATATGTATACAAATAATATACATTATATAATATATTCACAAAAATATAAAAACCTAGTGATATGGAGTAAATTATCAACTGGGTAACTTTTCAATATATACATAGATTAAATTTGTAAAATTAATAAGATTTGAAATAAAAAAAAAAAATAAATATTCAAAGGAATATCCTAATTCAAAAAATTCAATTATAGTTAACAACGTAATTAATGATTATATTTCATAAATATTCTAAATAACATAACTCATCATTTGAGGTGACACGATATTATTCAAAATTTCGTAAATTTCAGAATGAAATAAAGAGTCCTGTTGCACCAATAACTTTTAATCGTCACTTTTACTCTTTAATTTTTTAAAAAAGTACTTTTATTTATAATTATAGTTCATTAGTGTTTCCATTCTTGGTTCAACAGAAACTTTGATGCAAAGTTTTTGATTAATTGATTTAAAAGAAGTAAAAAGTGATTGGTGCAATAGGATCCAGTTGGAAATTTGAAATTCTAATTCAAATATTGAAAATATTAATATGTTTCAATAATATCTCATTATGCAGAACGGGTAATATTTAAAAAAATTAAATAAAAAATTTTATTTGTAGGTTAAATTTAAACATTATTTTGAAATTAAAGTAGATCTTTAAAGTTTAAAAAATAAAAGTTGTAATATTTTTGATCTTAAAATTTAAGAATATTATTGAAATAAAATTTAAGAATGAACGCGCGATTGTACTACTTTTAGGTTTAGATATATAAAAGATTTGTTCCCTTATTTGTTGAAAACATTTAAATATTCTTATTTCATTTTTAATTTTCACGTGTTTATGTATTAACCTAATCATTTCAAAAGTGGTAATCTACGATTTTTGGGTGGAGTGGAGTTAAAATGAGGAAAAAAAAAAGTTTTTACAAATCTACTAATAAAACACAAAAAATGCTTTATTTTATTTTTAAGCTTGGTATTCACACAATTTTTTTGTTTGTTTGTTTTTTTTTTAAATAATGAATGAGGTGTTTTTAATGAATGAGTCTTAAATTTTAATTGAAAAAAGAAAAAAAAATGATATCAAAATAATTAAAAACAAAAAAAGATTTTTTAATATAAATAACATACAGAAATGTTTGGATATATGGACGGAACGGATACTTTTAATGTCCAATACGCTAGCCTCTTTTTTACTTTTAGATTTTAATTTTTTAACTAAAATATCATAAAACTAATAAATATTTATCTAAATTTATATATATGTATATATATTATGCATAAATTACAAATGAAATTTTTTAATTAATTTCATTTCATTAAAATTTTGTATAATCTAAATTAAAAACAAAATTTACTTACTTTTGTCTTTCAGCTTTATAACTAGCTGTTAATTCATCAAATAATTTAGAATTCATTTCCATAAATGTTTTCAAAACATTATAAACAAGTGCAACTATTGTTTGATTCCAATGTTCTTTACTTATTCGGTAAAGCGCTGGGAACATTATTGGCATTATAACAGCATTATTTTCTTCAATGAGTGACATTGCATACTCATTATTCCATAAATATAAGGCTCGCTCAGCGACCTAAAAAAAAGTTATTTGATGCAAATATTCAAAATAATTTTTAATTATAATGTTATTTTAAATGAGCTAATAAACGATTTTATTTCCAAAATAATTCGAATTCCTTTTATAAAAACTTTTTCCTTCTTAAAAGTGATCAAACAAAAAAAAAAAAATAAATTACCTGAAAATGAGGACTTGATACACATTTTGCAATTTGTCTAAATAACGGCTCTTGAATTTTAACAAATTGCGGGGGATCAATAACATCTAATATTTCTTCAATTTCACCCAAAAACATAACTTCCTTTTGAGAACATGTTTTCGGCCAAAATTTTAGTAAACCTCTTACAACTGGTTCTGTAAGTGATGCATCTTTTTCAAGAAACTGTACAATGCAATATGCTAACTGAGCATGATATAATGATAAACATTTTACTTTGTGCAATGGTAGTAAGACTTTAACCAAAAATTGTTTATGTTCAGCTTTTAATGGTAATGCAAAACCGTTAATTATACTAAAAATACATTTTTGTTGTTTAAAAATTATGTTTAAATAACAAATATTTTATTGTACTATTCAAATTATCATCATTATACCTTCCAAGAATTTCTAAAAGCTCTCCAACACCATTAAAATGTTCTGTTTCATAAATGAAACGCAAAAATATATTATTGATTTGTTTTCGTATAAAAGCACGTAAACCTAGAAATTTTCCATAAATACGATGCAATACAGTTTTTAGAAAATCTCTTTCCCTTGGATCCTCCGAATCAAATAGCTCTAATAACTATAATTAAAAAAAAAAATTTAAAATATAATAAATTTAATAAAATTAACACAAACATGAAAAATATTTTATCTTACTTGTAAAACAAACTTTTGGTCAATAACACGTTTTCCAATAGTTGCCTGAAAATCTTGAGATTCCAAAAATCTCAGAAATACTTCATAAACTAATTGTAAATGTGGCCATGAGGCCTCTAACGTTGGATCATCTTCTTCTGGGTCAAAATCCGGATTTTCACTTGGCGGCAGTGTTCGAAACAAATTGCATGATATCTATATAAAAATATTAAATAAATATTAATATTCGAGCATTAAAGAAATATTCAAAAAAGGTTTAAATTTATATTTTATTATTTTGACAAAATAGAATCATATAAAATTCTACATTTTTTTCATGTTATTTTTTATTAATTAAAAATTACCCATTAATTTTTAAGTATTTTTAAGAGGAAAAAAATATTTTCCTATTGTCCACTTGAATACTGTATAAAATACTAAAAACTTTAAACAGTTTTAGTCGTGGACTATTTGTAATGTTTTTATTTATGAAGCGCTACATCTAAATTATTTTAATTATTTTGATTTAAAATTTACGATATTGGATACCATTACTTTAAATTAATACTATTACTTTTAATTTATTGGAGGGAATCATTGAACTAGAATTTGTAAACAGCTACACATTTTGGAAAGAATTGTAGGGGTGAAAATTTTTAGAGGTTTTATTAAAATTATTTTTTATGACAATTGCTGAAATAAACATTTGTTTTCCCAAAAAATTCAATAAATTTTAGAAAAAGGTTAATTTTTCTAATAAAATTTACAATAAATCCAATGTAAAATGCAAATTAAATAAAAAATCAATCATAATTTAAACAAACAACAACCAAAAAAAAACACAAATTTACCATTCTAATAATTTCTGGATACACAGGTTCCGTTAATACACCCCTTCCATGTGTTATATAAGTTGACAAATCATTTAAAGCAGCTCTTTTAATTTCTTTTCCTTTTAAATCCGATACCGGATCCATAAAATCGAATGACACACAACATTGTCGTAATTTTCGTATAAATAGTTCCTCTTGCTCTAAACTAGAACATTCAGCTACAAAAAATAAGAAAATTAATTAAAATATAAATATTTTAAACTCTTAAATAAAATTTAATATTTGATAAATACCTTTTAAGGGAGGTAATTGCTGTAATTCAACATCTTGAGAATTTCTATATCTGGAGGAACCTTGAGATTTTTTACTTTTCTTTTTAAGGGAGCGTTTTGCAAAGGGATCAATTCGATCAACAAATGTTCCCGAAGACATTTTCTTCTTTTTTTTATTATTTTTTGAGTTTTTCTTCCTCTTATTATTGTTAAATTTCCTGCTTTTAGCTTGCTACTTTTTTTATTTTTATCTAATATTGCAGTATTTCGTATTTTTAATAAAATTGTTTTAATATTTGTTAAACATATATTGATTTTCCATATATTTTAGTATGATGAGATAAAAAATAAGTTATTGTTGGTTTAAAAAATAATTATTTTTATAGCTTTTATTATCTTCTAGTGTTTTGATATATTCCTGAAATTCTTGTAGAAATATCTGAAATGACAAAAAGAAATAAAATTAATTCAGATATAATAATTTACATTTTCTAATTTAAAATTAGAAAAATAAAATACAATTATTAATAATTATTTTATGAGAGAAAAAACCATGTCAGAATATCGTATGTAGTAAAACAGAGTCTAAAGCAAATTGTAACTTATTATATAATAATAACTGCCCATTATTTTTTTAAGAACAGCATTAAGAGGAATAAGTTTTTTAAATTTTTTGTAGTCCACTTGAATACTAATAAAAATAAATTAAGAACAATTTTTATAAGTTTTAGTAATGGACATGTTGTTACTTTTAAGCAGTGCAATTGACACAAAATGTTCATTAAACTTATATGTACATGCATCTATAATAAAATCAAGTATGTTTTCTCACTGATTTTTTAAAGAAACGAAGAAGCATAATTAACAATATATCATGGGATATAAGTAGGTTAAATTTAAAATTTTAATTTTATAAGATTGTGTATGGAATAAGAATATGGAGTGTTTGAATTTATAAAATAATTTTATCTGGAAATAATAGTGAATGTGGTAGATCTCGAATTTCGGCAAAATATTAATTTTATGTTGATTTAAACAAATTTTTATTGCGACAAATTTTAGATATACTTGTTGCAAATTTGAACAAAGACCGTTTTTCATTATATCAAACAATATAATAAGTAGTTTTCGTAACTCTTTTCTTCGTCATCATTCTTTAAAATGCAAAAAAAAAAAAAACTAAAATAACAATAACGTCACGTCGCATTGAAACTCATAACTAACAACATTTGTACGCATTCATATATTGGGAAATGGCCATACAATACTTATAATCCAATTTAAAGTCGATGAAAATAGATCTATCCGATGTCCGTCCGTAATGGCAAAAGGAATTTATAATAATATGTCTCGTTATTGTTACTTATCTCGTAGAAAAATTTTTTAAGCCACTATTTTCATAAGATGTAGTTAATATTAGGTTATTATGAATCTTATACGATATAGAAATTATTATATGTTCAACATTCTTGAAACTACTCAATTTAAGCATAAATTAATTTAAACAATAATAAAGAATTTTTTTCTTTTCGAACAAAGATTTTGTTTAAATTTTATATCGAAAATATGGTAAATTTTTTCAAAATGTTTCAATATTTTTTTAAATTTTCGTTACCAATATATTTAGCAAATATCTCTGGATTTTATCCAAACATAATATCTTTTCGCCTTTTTATTAAAATATTAAAAATTTACGTCAGCAAATTCGTATTTGAATTGTTTCGCCAGAAAAAAATTTTTATAGAATAAAAATTTCTATCTTATTTAAGGCAAACTTAAATTTTTGTAAATTTATAAAAATTGAATAAAATTTTCAAAGGAAATATTTTGCAAATATGAAAAAGTAAAAGGAAACTGACAAAAAAAAATGACGCAATAATATTATTTTAAAATTAATAAAATAGATTTTATTGCTTTTGATATTATTACAATGTGTAAATAATTTTAAAAACTTTATAGCATTTTATAATAGGTTTAATGAAAATTCGATTTAATAATCATTAAATATTTAAATTAATTTATGATTTTTTTCACAAATATAACAAATAAAATTTTATGAACGAAATAATTTTCGCTAATTTTAGTTCTCCTTTAATTTGGAATTTATCCTAAAACATCTACAAATACATATTAATGAAATTTTTTTTGACTATTTCAATTTCTTCTTGTTTTCAATTATTCACCATTAGAAGTTTTAACGGGAAATTATTACAGAAGTACATATCTCGATTATTAAAGATTTCCTGAAATATTAATTTAATCTATGGGCTGATGACTGATAATTACACTAATTGAACACATGAGCTACAACATGGGCTACAACAAATATTTACACTAATTGAAAAATTGAAAAAAATTACACTAATTGTAAAAAATTTTAAAAATTAAATTTTAAGTCATACGAGTAATAATTAAATATTACAACTTTCATCGTTATTATATAATACAAAATACATATTTTTATTTTACTTTTTATTTGACCCACAAGTTGGGAGGCTAAGGGTTCTTTTTTTAATACAATTACATTTATGTAGTGTGTTATAGCAAAAATAAATAAATATCATCGGTTAAGAAGCAGAAAGCATTAAATCAGGAAACCGTGTTTTGAGTAAATTCAACTTGAAAATATCGTAAAATTGTAAAGCTAATCAATTAGTGCAATGGGATCGGTCTCTTTAATTTCTAAACTATATTCTGAATTTGCATGATTTTTTACCACAAAAAAAAATATATTTTTCTGATTTAATTCATCTGGATAATTCGAATTCTCAAAAGATGCACTTAGTCCTTTCTGCCTTTTAACCGACGATATTATATTTTTAGTAATATATTAAAAATTTATTAAGTAAGCTAGTTTGATTTTTTCAGTCAACGTGCGACATAATTTAAAATATGTACATAATTATTTTAAATATTCTAATCTTATCATAAGTTCGCAGCATTTCTTTTTATTTTTCTATTTATTCTATAAAATGATAAAATAGAAAGTGAAAGCAGTTTTATACTAATGATACGAAGAAAAATAAAAAAATATCAAATCCAGTTAGAACCAAGATCAAGGTCAAATAAAAGAAACAGCTGAGAATTTGTCGATCCAGAAATTTAAAGAGATCACAAATAAAGCTTTATATTTTCGAAATACATATTTTAAATTATCTTAAAAGCCAAACATTCATTATTAAAAATAAAAACATTATTGTGAGTGCTGCCAAATGGATTAGCACAAATATCTTCATTTCGAAAATTTAAATAAAAAAAATCTTCAAGCTTTGACTCTTCGAAATCTTCAAAAAGTGGGAAGCAAAAATATCAAAATTTCAATTCGAACTAAATCAGACATCAAAGAGACAAACTATTGAAACGAAGAATATCGAAAATTTTTTGGCATGAAAGTAGTGTTACCTATTACGTGCGTTATCTATTAAATTGACTCTTTGGTAATGGTTTTCGACTTTGGAAATATGGAAGAAAGTGTAAAAGATTTTAAATCTGTAATCCAATATTTTTCTATGTAAAATGTTGTTTCGCAGTTTCACCCAAAAATATGTAACCAAAAAAACCTTCATTTTAAAGATAAATCTTCGCTTTTGATAGCGCTGATTTTTGACAAAATTATTGTTAAATATAAAGAGAGGAAATCATGAAATATAATTAAAATGTTTTTATTTTTGAATTCTTGAAAATTTATTAATAGATTGAGAAACAAAAAAAAAAGAAATTCTTAAAAGAAATTAAACATTGTGTCAAAAAATATAAATAATTACCATCGTTAATTACAATGAGTTCGTTAGTTGTTAACCTAGCGAAAATCTTTGGTATTAATTAAAATGTATGATAATAGAGAATAAATTTTATACATACGTACATATGCACGTAAATACAATTGGTTTACGTATTTAATTTTCAAAGAAGTAGAAATATTTACAGTAATTAGAGCTTTTCAGAAAGTGTTTAAAATAATATAACACAAAAAAGATGTTGATGAACAGATTCTTGTGTATACAAAAATTTAATGCAAATTTCATATTGAAATTTTAGCGGTTAAAGCAATGAATTAAGAATTTTTTCAGTGTAGTCAGGAGCTCGAAAATTAAACTTTTATTATGGGTTGATTTTAAAGTTCTAATTACATCTAAGGGAAAAATTAACAGAACTTACTGAAAATTTAATATTTTGAGCTATGTGTGACAGAAGAATAAATGACAAATTTTTTACGAAAATCGTTTTCGCAGAAATCAATATTTACTACATATTGGAGTGTTTTTATTCATTTAGATAATACCGTGAACTCATTACATATACGATTATTATGTATACATAGGTACTTCAATGGTAAAAATTTTAGTATAAAACAAATCATATAACTTTTATAACTACCAACTTTGCCGACTTTTCCATTTTATACGCCTTTAAATTAAAAGACCTCTGATGATGGCTTATCGAATACAAATATTGAGGTGATAAAAAAGATTATCACGCAAGGATTTTGACATTTTCCATTACGTCACTATAGCTACCATATCAACTATGACGTCTGTTACTACCAGACTAAGGATTTAGATGTGATGATATAACTTCATAGGATATTTGTATGCGATACGATTATCAGAATATGGTTGATTATGTTTTTGAAATTAAAATACAAATAGATGCTGTCTAATGGTTAATTATGTTATAAACAAGTGTTAAAATAGAACAAATAAAATAAAAAGAAAAAAATTGGTGTCATAAATTTTACCTACCAATTTTTTTATTATTTCATAAGCTGGAGGGACTCTTTAAGCTTAATGCATCTAAAAAGTAAATGATGTGTACTTATATATGTATATATATATATACTATATATAATTTATATTCACATGGGATATAGTATATTATAAATTTTCTGTTTCTTTATTTATATTAATTATAATTCTCTCTCTTCTTTTATATTTTATCCAGTATATAAGTATGCGTATGTATATGTAGTTTTTTTTGTTATTTTTATATATTATATATAAATATGTATATAATAATTATTCAGCTATTTATAGTCTCGTACAATTTCTATTTATTTTTCTTTTATTTTATATTTTCTTTTTTTATATATATACATATATATTTGTGTAATGCTTGCTTGCTTATTGTTGTTAAATTTTCACAGTATCCAGTAGTATATTTGAATATAATTATCTTCAAATATTTTCCTTTCTTTGTATATTTAGATATTGTTATTTGGTTTATGTATATTTCTTCAATTTATGAATATATATTCGCTCATACATAATATATTTTTGTATTAATATATTTATATTTTGTAAATTTTATACTTTTTTTTTTCTGCGAAAACTTAAAAATTCGAAATAGAACAAAAATGTTATAAAAATTCTTTCCTAGTTATTAATAATAATGATGAATAATGATGTTCCTGTTATTGTAGTTGCTGTTTTATTTTAATAGTTGTATATAAGTAGTTGTATAATATTTAAATATGATGATAATGATGAGAAAAAACAAGAAAAACAAAAAAACGACGATTTTTATGAGAGAATTATACTATTTTTCTTTTTTGTTAATAGATGGCACTGGTTCGTTTTTCTTCTTCTAATATTCTATAAATTATTAATCTTTTCCTCCTCTATAATTGTGTGTTTGTATGTTATTATTGAATATTTTATTTTAATATTTAAAAATAATATTTTTAATTATACCAATATTATGTAGTAAAAAATAATAATTAATAAATTTTTATTCCTGTTTTTTGTTTTATTCTTCTTCTTCTTTCTTTCTTTTTTAATTATAAATTCTACTCTTATTTGGATTTATTGATGTTTCTAAATAATATTATGCATTCGATATACGGTATGTATGTTTATATGTATATATCTAAATCGATTGCACTCTTAAATCGAATAATTTTCTTCTTTTAATAATTTATTCGTAGTTTTATTTTTATTGTTGTAGGAGTAGTAGTAATAGTATTATTGTTATGTGTAGTCATCGATATCTAAAATGAAAAAACAAAAGAGGAAAATTAAAATTATTATTATCCAAATTTTAAATTTTAAAATTAAATTTAAGTTTAATTTTTATAATATTTTATTGTAAAATTGTAAGATTTAATATAATTTTAATAATTTTCTTTTAAAATATTTGAAAATAATTTCTTAAATTTCAATACTAATAAAAATTTTGTATTAAATTAATAATGGTCTTAAATATTTTATGTGTCTATATAATTTCATTTTATCAGTTCTAGAAACTTTAAAAATATACGACAAAAATTTTAAATTTTAATAAAAATTTGGTATATTTATTGTATATTGTTTTTATTTCATATTTTTTTTTATTAGTAAAATAACAAATATAAAATTGAATTTCTGCTCATGCTCACATCAATGCAGATTTTCAATTTAGATTTTTTATTCATCGATTTATAGAAGTAAGGTACCTTTTAATACAAAATTTTTGTATAATCTAATATAAAATGCATAAATAATTAAAAATAAAAATATTGTATAAATATTTTTTGTTAAAAATTTTTAATTCAGAATTAAATGTTTCATTGTATTCACTTCTTATTATTTATTTTTATATAGGAAATATGAATAGCAATATTTAGATGGGAATCCTTTTAACATTACACCAAAATTATTAAAATTAGACTCTTAAGTAATAGTAAAATTTGGTAAAACTTGTGCAGTTAAGATATAGTCACGAAATATTAAGAATCCAATTTTATTAATATTTGTAAAATAATTTAATTTTCGTTAATATTTGATCATGATTTTACTATTTTAGTTCGTTATAAATTTAAATTGTAGCCCTTAGAAGAAAACTCTTTCACAATTCAATGAATCCAAGATATAATTCCATTCTAAGCTACTGTTCTATATTTTCGGCAAAATCTAAGACTAATGGTAAATTCTTAAACGTCCAATTTTACAAAATCTGAGTTGTCTGAGTTTATGAATACTCTACTGCGTTTTTACTTTCAGTCAAAGTTTAAATTCTGAAACGTTTAAAAAAAGTCAATTAAGCGTCAAAATTGTAGATTTTTTTTTTACATGCAGACAGTCTGACGTAGTAATTCAGTAAATAAATTTGATGTATTGAGTGACTATCATTACGTTAAAAATAATATAAAAAATATTTTTTTTGTTAATTTTTAATATGTAAGTATAAAATTATTTTAAATCTAAAAAAAATTTTTTTGTTTTGACGTTTACGGATGATCAAAATTCAAGGTCAATTACGGGTAAAAAGTTTACTGCATTTCTGTCCGTAAAAGTTTTATACGTCAGACAGTTTGCAGACTGAAAACAAAATTTTGACGTTAAATAATTTGCGGTAAATTTACAAAATCTGATCTGACTCTTTATATACCAGACTGAAATTATATCAGATTTTACCTCAGAATTTAAAAATGTGCTCTGAAAATTATAGTCAAAATTAAAATCGGCTGTGATGAAAATAGAGTAATTTTTTTATGTGCCGTCAGACAAAGTTTGATGTTAACATACAGGGTTAACATATACAACTTTCATCAAACTCAGATTAAAATTGCAAATGTTGTCGTATGTGTAAACTGTAACTAAATGCACTTATACAATTAAAACTTTTCCTGTTTATGAATGTGCTCTAATATTATGTGCGTATGCCTAAAACATGTTAATTACTTTATATATAAACGAGAAAAAAATAGAGTTGACCTTGTCAACTCTGTGATACCCGTACGAATTTGTTATCCTATGTGCGAATAAAGATGCCATAACTGACTATGGGACAGACGATGACTTTAAGTTGCTGTATATTAATTTATGCAAAATTTCAGTACAATGTGTTTTTCAAAATATTGTGTGTGCTATACTGCTGTTGAAGTTGTATGGCAGCTACCAGAAAGAGCCAAGAAATTTTAACGAATTTTATCAAGCACATCGGCCCTAATAATATATTTACTTATGTGAAATTTCAATACCACAACTTTTATAGTTTCTGAGATATAGCCAAATAACTTTGGAAGTTGTATGACAGCTACCAGAAGGAGCCAAGCAATTTCAACGACTTTTATCAAACACATTGGCCCTACGAATATATTCGTTTGTGTGAAATTTCAATACCATAGCTTTTATAGTTTCTGAGATATAGCCAAATAACTTTTGAAGTTGTATGGCAGGTACCAGAAGGAGCCAAGCAATTTCAACGACTTTTACCAGACACATTGGCCCAACTAATATATTCACTTGTGTGAAATCTCAATATTACAGCTGTTATAGTTTCTGAGTTATAGTCAAATAACTTCTGAACTTGTATGGCAGGTACCAGAAGGAGCCAAGTAATTTCAACGACTTTTATGAGATACATTGGCCCTACTAATATATTCGTTTGTGTGAAATTTCACTACCACAGCTTTTATAGTTTCCGAGATATAGCCAAATAAATTTTGAAGTTGTATGGCAGCTACCCGAACCGGTACCCCGATCATGCCCAATTTAAATAGGGTTCTGGCACTTACTACAATGAATCATTTGTGAAAATTTGGTGAACTTAGCTCAATTAGTTTTTGAGTTATCGTTGGGACGGACGGACGGACGGACGGACGGACAGACAAAGCTAAATCAACTCAGAATTTGACGCTGATCAAAAACATACACTTGAGTCTATATCTAACTTCGTTATTTCTTAGCGTTACAAACGGTAAGGCAAATTTAGTATACCCTTCGAACATACGTTCGTACGGGTATAAAAACTGAATTCAATTCTAGAATCAATAAATTTTACCAATTTGAATTACAAGAATTTCTTATCGCAATGTATGTATAATGTATGTATGTAGTATAAAACTTAATAAATTTAAATTTATTAAATTTTTTGAAAATAAATAAATAATTTAACGTTACATAAAAATTTCTTTAAACTTAAGTTTTCATACTTTTACAAAAATTTTCATATTAAAATTTAAATTTTTCCAAAGTTATTTTAAGTTTAAAACTAAATATACGAGTACTTTCAAGACGTACATGTCATAAATTTTTGCTACAAAAATTTTGAGTTTCTGTTATCCTTTTTCTTATAAGGAAAAAAATTTGATTAATGAATCGTTATCATTTTTGATAAGAATGGATAACATTGAGTAAAAAAAAAACTATTCTTGACACTTTTATTAAATTTTTCTAAAATCAAAATTTGCTTCGGAATAATTTAAAATTTATGAAAACGAAAATATAAAGTTATGTTCAGTGCGATAATAATAATTGGTGAACTCAACAAATAATTATTTTTATTGAAAAATATAAAAAGAGAAAATGTGTGGGCAGCAATAAAGTGAGCGTTCCCATAGAAAAACGCACTAGTAACTGAAAAATGAATCTGAGAAATCGAGAAATTACTGATCTTATTCTGCTTTCGAAGAGGAGTTTTTTCTGTCTTTAAACTCGTTCTTTCTTTCATGCTATTTACTTTTCAAATAATTAGAATTTGATAAGCTCATATTACAAGATATTCTTGAACATTGTTAATTATTTACTTATAATTAATAAAAATATAATTATAAAGTAATTTCTAAATTGCATACTTAAATATTTAAATTTTATGAATGTAGATTGAACATAATTTTTATCATAATAAGTATTATGCATATTACTGGATTTATTATGTACAAGTTATTTGAGATTATTATATTAATTTAAAAAGGATAAAAAATACATCAATTTCGTGCATGTATGATTACATACACGCTTACATTTATTTTTAGTTTATTTTAACTTGAAATAAAAATTTCCGCAGTAATTATTTTAGCATTACTTATACTCTGATACTTTTCAATTTTTCTAAAAGAGCAAGTAAGGCAACCTACATATATCTATACATCTATGTAAATTTTTTATATTTTTTTTTGTTTTCTTCGTTATGTTAGTATTATGCAGAAAGCAGCATTATATATGAGCAATATGCTAATATCCTTAATATTTTTTTTAATAAAATAAGAGTTAGTATAGTATTGCGGTATATAGAAAACTTATCTGAAAATTTGATGTATTAAAAAATTTTGTTCTTCAAATTAAAAAAAAAAAAACCCTCTTTTACTAAACTCATCTCCACTTCAATTTCATTTATCATAAAGGGTGTAAAAATAATGGTCGATTTCCGGTTAATATATAGAAATTCACCTTTCATTTTAGAAATCAGTAATTTAGTGTGCAACATTGTTTAGGGCATCAAATATGAGTAAATTTTCGTTTGAAACTCCTTTGTGGTCAAATTTCAATCGTTTTGGAAAATAAGGATTTACACAAATTTTTCCGAAATTTCTACTTGTCTAAATTTTTCTTTAACGTTTGGTGGCTTAAATTCAAGCTTAAGGAACGGAAAAAAATTTAGTAAACTTGTAAATTTTTTTTTGAAATTTCAAAATATTTTATACAAAGTTTTATAATAAAATTTTTTATAGTTAAGAATAAAAAAATTAAAAAATATGAAAAAATTGTGTTTTTCTTAAATTAGAGAGCTTGGTATTTCAAAAGTGCATAAGAAATTTATGTTCAAATCCTTTACCAGCCGTTTGAAAAAATGTTTATTTGAAGATTCTGTCTCTTTTATCAAAAATTGCGGTAATTTTTTGCTTTTTTTCAATTTTAAATCGCTTTAGGGGCGAAAAAGCTAAAGCAGAAAAATTTTTTTACGTATATATATGTATACGTAAGCTTCTTTGATTTCTTAACATAACACCCATATTCTCTTATTTGCATCACTTGGATTGATGGGATATCACTCAATTATTGAAAAGAATATTATATTTCTGGCATAGAATTTCGAAAATTTTTTAATCTGTTAATTGATTCGACTAGCAGAATAAGGGAAGTTTTTGCTAAAATTGTTACTAATGGATTATAAAATTTTTTGTAAAATTTTTTTGGAATACTCAGTATCTGGCTCTTTAACATGTTAAACAATAATAAATCATACATTTTGTCAACAAATGTAAACACTTAATTGATATTTTTGATA